ATGGTCGTGTGTGCGAATCGCACGCGATGTCTAGTTGACAAACTTGGAAGGCTCTCATGTTCTTGGCAACACAAAGCCCGCTGTAAAACGACAACACGATCAGTCTACATAAGGCATACGTCTAATGAAAACCTGCTTCCAGAATCTGGGAGCCTGATTGAAGAACAATGAGGTCCATCTATCAGCTGGCCTTATAGCTGCTTGCTATGACGCGGCGACGCACGGAGACACTTCCGCGGGGCTGTGATGGACCTGTGGTAGCTGTGAGCCTGTTCACGATAGCCGTAGTATTCGAGCTGCTATCAAAGCGGCTAGGTCTTTCAGCCGGAGTATGCTCCATCATTCTGAACCGGCTTGCGACGACTGCTTTTCTGTACCTTTTTTCGACTACATTTCAGAGCTAGAGAGTGGCTTACCTCGGCATCGGGTTGCTTTTGACCCCCATTGTACGAACGCAAGAACACATTCAGGACAATCGCCGTGTTGGTAATCTACGCGCTTGGGTGAAGTTTGCTCATATCGCAGAATATGGTACTCATCAAAGCCACGTGCTCAAGAGTGATGCGCGAACCATGGGTGCCATAGGTTGGGGAATGACACCCGCCCATGTAGCCTTGGCGCATATGTGGAGCCGCGGGATCGACGAACGGCATGACGTCGAAGCGCTAGCTTCCCTCGTCATCCTGATCAACGCGTCGTTTGGGAGCCTGGAACCTTGGTACAGCTTCAATGTAAACTCTACCAGAGCTCTCTCCATTTTCTATCAACCACAATTGCACTCCACTCCACGTGAAAGTGACACAAACTATCGCAATGTCACTCTCATCATGCTTCGGCTCGCGCAAACGCGACGACGACCAGCGTCCTTTGTTGCCTCAGGTATGTCAGCTCAACTGTCTGCAGCGCGACGCGTACTAACACCGAACGACAGTATCGCGATGATACAACGCTCCAGCGTGAGGTGCACCAGAAGCTTCACTCGTACCAGATGCTGCGGGCGCTTTCCATGGGGTTCATGCCGTCGAATGAACAAGTCATCATCAACCTCCGCAGCTTGTTGTCTGCAGACGTCCTGAACCCAGAGAACCCAGACTTGAGCGACTCAGGACGCCTGCTTGTCAAGTTTACGAAACAATGGCTTCATCAGTTCATCGACACGATGAACCACAAGAACAGCGAAGATCAGATTCAAGACTTCCTCTGGTACCTGTCCAAGTCCAGGATCTCTGTTGACGTAGAGGACATCGCAAGGCGGACAACACGGTCAAAAGCAAAGGCTGATGCTACTGCAGGTGCGTACTCACAAATGCGTCTATATCTCATCCACTAACACGAGAACAGCATACCAGAGCCTCCAAACCGTTGGATCTCTCCTCCTTACCAACTCAGACTTCCGCATCTTCCTTTCTGATCTCCAAACCGTCGGACGCGAAGTCTTTAGAGACACCGCATTCACACTGTCGAACGTGTCCAAGAAGGCTGCGAAGAAGATTGAGCCCTCGCAGGCAGAGTACAAGGCGCTTAAGGAGCCAGGCGCGGACGAGGGCCCTCCACCTTCGGCCGAGGATCTGGGTAACGATGTCGCCGAAGTAGCCCAGGTAGTTGGAAATGGTGTGGCCAAGGTTGCTAAGAGGGCAGACGTGAGTCTGGGACAAAAGCTACAGGGCGACGAGGGCGAATCTCTCATGTTCCGCCTGAAGAAGACAGTTACAAACCTGAGGCAGAAGAGGGACTACAACGACTCCGTCTCGGTGCTGGCACAGCTCCTGAAGCGCTACGCTTTGGTGTACTCTCGCACGGTCGAAGATGCCATGGGCACGCTCGAAACCGACATCGACACGAACCCAGCGATGGACAAGGCTGTCAAGAACTTCTGGACTTTCATCAGCTCGTTCGGAGATAAACAGGAATGGAAGAAGCTCGAGGACGCCTTCCACCAGGTCTTGGATCATTCCCGCAAGGATCCAGAATTCGAGGATCTGCTGACAGACGTTGGCAACTCCCTTCAGAAGCTGCTCACCGACCCCGACTTCTTCGATCACGTTGACGAGAAGTTCCAGGAACTCCGAAAGAAGGCCCAGGGTGTTGGAACCGAGTCTTCGCTCCGTCAGGATGTTGATGTGTTCTTTGAGCAGGCCCAGCGAACGTTCATGGCCGTGACACAGGATGAGGACATTGCGAAGATGATCAAGACAAGCACGAGGATCTGGAACATCTTGTCGCCTATGCACAACTACACCAACAGCGAATTGGTTCAGGACGCCATCAACGTCTTCGTTCCTCTCGGAATCCAGGCTATCCAGTACATTCCTATCCCCCGTCTGGAGGTCTCCACGCCCGAGATCGACATGCTCCTCGAGAACCTGATTATCGAACCCGGAAAGACCGTCAACCACACCTCCTTCCTGCCTTTCCGCTTCAAGGTGGAAACATACAACGACTTCGAACTCCGCAAGGCCCGCTTCCGTGTGGCGTCAAAGGCTACCTCCAAGTTCACCATCAAGATTGACGGTCTCTCCTTCCGTGCGGATGAAGTTGGCTTCCTTCTTCGCGCGCACTCTGGTCTTCTCCGTCTTGCCGATGAGGGTATCGCATCTTTCCAGCTTGACGAGCGCGGTATTGACATCCATCTCGACGTCGAGGTCGGCAAGGAAAAGCTGGAACAGATCCTTACTCTCAAGGCTGTTCGCGTCCACATCCACAAGCTCACCTACAAGCTTCGCAAGTCCAAGTTCAGCATCCTCGGCTGGCTGTTCAAGCCACTCCTACGTCCCATCGTCCGCAAGGTTATGGAGAGGCAGATGGCCAAGGGTATCGCCGACGGTATACATGCTGCCAACCGCGAGCTCATCTTCGCTCGCGAGAGGCTCCGAGCTACGAGGATCTCAGACCCAGACGACCTCAAGACCTTCGTCAAGGCTGTCATCACCCGCCTTACACCTGCCGACGATCCAGACGTCTACACGAGGGTCGGTGTCGAGGCACCTGGCAAGGGTGTATTCGCTGGCAAGTACGCACCTGGTAGTGTTGTCAAGCTGTGGGAAGAGGAGGGTCGTCGAGCAGCGGAGCGCATCGATGACTGGGATGAGGGTGGCTGGAGGAACGACGTCTTCGACTTACACGCTATGACGATGTCTTAGGCGTTTTGTTTGCTTCTCTCATGATCGGCTCAATTTGCAAGGTTCACTTCCTTTTCGGCGCGGGCTTATGGGTTCATCCACGACTGGCATCTCAAGGCAAAATGTTTTCTTAGCGGTATGGTCATGGTTTGTTCTTATGCGTACACACGATATCCTAATGTAGTACATGATCTATTTGATAGTCTTGTTACAAAGGTGTCAAATCAAAATATTGACCACAAGTCTGCTTTCAGGCAGCCATTTGCTTCATGAACGCCCGCTCAAACAGCGTTATCATACAGTGTATACCCCACTCGAGCCGCGAGCTCGATTTTTATCAGATGCTGAAATGATCTCTCTCTTCCAGATGGGAAAGCATCCAGCCTTCCCATGTCTCTCACAAATCAGTAATCCCAACCACTTTCATCTCGACGCACCTAGAACGGAGGCAGGTAGAAGGGGTATCCGCCGTTCTTGATGCGGAAGACACTGAGCAGGAAGCTGTACATTCCGAACAAAACACCAGTCCACAGGAAAACGGCGAACGACTGTGCACGCGGGTCTTTGATTCTGGGAACCTTGATGGCCAGAGAAATAGCAGCAAAAGCGAGGATGCCGTAGATGGCGGCAACAATCTGCGACTCGAGACCGTACTGGCTGCTGAAGCCTCCGGCGAAGTAGTTCATACCACCCTTGCCATCACCCACGACATACGGTGTTTTCCTAATGTGGTTGAACATGTGGCCACTGGTGAAGAGAAGCACGGCGATGAGGCTGACGGCGGCCCAGAGGTTACGGTTCTGGAGGATGGGAATGATGTATGGCCAGGCGACTGAGATGGCTGTGATACCTCCGAGGACGATGACGGTTGCGGAGATGTAGAAGACCCAGTCGATGGGGCGGGAGACGGAGGGCTTGGGCACGTCAGCGGGGAGCTGGCGCGCGATCCAGGCGTGGATCTGTTCGGCTTTCTGGGGGCCGGCGGTGAAGTCGAAGCGGACGGGTGCGGAGTCGACCTTTGCGTTTGCGCCGACGGTTGGGTGGAAGTAGAGGAGGACGGGTGCGGTTTGAAGCATCATCTATCGATTGTTAGTCCTGGAGAGCTGAAAGTAGAGGAACAGGGAGTTCTCACCGACTGGAAAGTGTTCTTTCCATCAACAAAGTCCAACGTGCCGAATATTAGTCTCGTCTTCCCATCTTTATCACCCTTCATCCAGCTCTTGCCCAGCAAATCCCACTCTGGCTGAAAGTCCCTGCAGAGCATGCATCCGAACCTCGGCTCCAGGGCGGTCAAAAGCACAGCAACGCCATAATCTCTCGGAGACTTGGTCAATTGCGCATAACCGGCGTCGTCGAGCTTGAGCGGATGGCCCACGGAAAGCGACTTGGCGCGGGCGTCAGTGAAGCGGTCGCCGGTCGATTTCTTGGCTGCCAGAGCTGTAAAGGGCAGCAGCGAGGCAGTGAGGAGCTGTAACCACCGCATTGTGTCGTTTGGCGGGCGGAGAGTTGGTGTGCGGAGCTTTGTTGGGTTGGACTGATGCTTGGGAACGTGGCCTCGAGCTCGGAGATGCGGCGTGCGTAATGCCAAGGCCGACACCTAGGCAGGGGTGCGCGACATGGGCGTTGGAGGTCAGCACTGCGGAATGTAAACCTCACAAGGACTGCTGGACTACTCAAGAGGCGATTCGTTCCTCTGTAGTGTTCGTGTATTTTTGCTATCTTCTTCAGCGTCATTCGTTCACTTTGTTGTGTTGCTAGCTCCATGACGGCCATCTGCACTCTGTTTGTTTACCCAGTCGCGTCTACCTAAAGCCCCACCACATTCCGTCCTACATCTACACTTAGCGATATACTCGCGCATCATTGAGCAGATATTATACCATGGTCGCCGCTGTCGAGGCAGATATGGACATCAACTACGAGATGAAGGATGTGAGTGAAAGACGGCTGGACCCTGTTCGGCTGCCGTGTCTTAGACCTTCCACTGACCCTTTCAGCTCCAACATTCGCTGCGGAACGCGACGCTGGAACTCAGTCTCGAGCGGAGTAAGCATTCGGTCGAAGTAGTAGTCAAAGACGAGGAGATCCGGAAGTTGCAAGTTGCCCAGTGCCTCCTGCAAGACGAGAACAGCGACCTACACGAACAACTCGAGGAGGAGCAGGCGCGATCCGACGAGCTCGAGGCATCGCTCGAAGAGGCCCTTGCGCAGTTGGACGAGCAACGCGCAGAGGCAGAGGCAGCACAAAACACCATCCGCACCCAGGCGCGGGAAGTCGCGAATCTCAAGGTAAGCACGTCCGGCCCATCGATCATTGCGCTATTTGCTTACTTCTCTTAGGCCGAACTCAAGGCTATGGAAAACGTCACATCCGACTCCAACAAGATACTTTCCGATAAACTCGCCCTCTCCCGCGAAATCTCATCACTACGCCCCGAAGTCGAACACCTGCGCGCCCAGGTCGAAGCAAACACCGGCCTGCTCTCTGAGAAACTCGCATTGCAACGCCAGATGACTACGCTACAAGTCGAACTCGAGAACGAGAAGCGGACCTCCGCCCGTACCATCGCGAAACAGGGGAAGAAGATGGAGCAGGATGAGGACCTGCGCAACGAGTTGGAGGAGGTACGCAATGAGCTCGCAACGGAGAAGAAGGACCGGATGAAGGCAGAGGCAGGGCTTACAAAGGCTGAAAAGGCCATGGAGAAGGTGCAGGCCGATCTGGAGTCGCAACAACAGGCAACCGAAAGTCTGCAGGCCAAGGTCGAGAGCCTGTCCAAGAAGGAGGCCAACAAGGCCAGCAAGCGCAGTGAGGCCCAAGATGCCGCGATTGAGCAACTCCGCGAGGAACTACAACAAGAAAAGGCTGCACGCCTACAAGCCGAGAAAGCCCGCAAAGACACCGCCGCCCGCGATGCTGAGATCGAAGAGCTGCGACAGGAACTCGAACAAGAGAAGCGCGAGCGTCAGAAGGCGGAGAAGGCGGAGAAGGCTTCGAGGAAGGGTTCGCAACAACCCGACGATCAAGCCGAAGCTGCAAAGAAAGAACTGGAAGAAGAGAAGCGCGAGCGCAAGAAGCAAGAGAAGGAATACAAGCAGACCTTGGCCGAACTGCAGGGCAAGAACGCGGTTCTCGACGACAAGCTGAGCGCTTTCCGCGAGAAGCTGCGAACGACCAAGGAGAAGTTGAAGGAGAAGGAAGCCGAGCTTCAGAGGGTAGACCGGGCACAGACCGCACCACCTGTCAAGAGCATCGCAGCTGCGTCTAGCAAGCCCGCAAAGACTGCTCGAAAGCGTATGGCTGCCACCGCCGAGCCAGAGACTATGCTGGGTACACCAGGAGACGGCTTCCCTGCGAAGAAGGCGAAGCGCGGCACTTCGGTCTCTGCCATGGGTGATACATCCACTTTCTCCTTAACGCCATTCCTGAACAAAGCTAGCAATATAGCACTTGACAGTCCCATCGTTGAAGAAGAGGAAGAAGCCGAGCAAGTCGAAGAAGAAGCTGCTGAAGAGCAAGGTACTCCGACAGCGCCTCCCAAGAAAGCCCTCAAGAAGACTGCCCAACCCAAGGTCAAGGCCCTCGCGCCATCAGCATCGAGCAAGGCAAACGCAAAGCCACGCAAGAAGAACGCTGCCCCAGTCCTCGAAATGGTCTCAGAGGAAGCATCTGAGCTCTCGCACAACACATCCAAAGACGCATCCGAAAACGCACCCGTATCCATCCCGACCAAAGACGGCGATGGCCCATCCAAGAAGTCCAGTAAAGTCAAGCCTCGCAAGTCCCTCATGTCCTTTGCCACATTTACCGAGGAACCCGCAGCGGAGAAGAAGAAGAAGCGCAAGCTTGGTGCAGGTGCCGGCAAGACGCTCTTCGATTCGGAAGATGCCGAAGATGCTGCGCCCCTGAAGCCTGTTGGTCTCAGCAAAGGCCTATTTGCGGCGAGGGCCCTGAGTAAGAATGTGTTGGGTAAGCAGGGCCAGGGACGCCCCATTTCGGGCGGATTCAACATGATGAGTGAGGAGGCGTTTACCTTCTCGCCGCTCAAGAAGGATCGGAGAGGAGCGAGTATCCTGAAGTAGAGGAGAGGGGTTGGGGGTTCTGAGATGCTGTACAATATTCGTTTGGTGCATATTTGGCGTTTGGTCTCACATCACGTATTGGCATTCGTTAGACTTTGGGTTATATGCAATACATACATCACAGTTGCATCCTACAATGCATGAGCACCGCGATATACTATATTCCATAAGTCTAGTTGAGGAATACATACACAGTTCTGTAGGACGTCCGGCAGGCTGAACTTCTGTGAAGACCTCCACGCTGCTACATTGCACTTCTTCGAACACTTGAGAGAGTGTTGTATGCAGCACGCTAGAATCCATAATATCATGTTCTCGAACTAATGTTGGTCTGCAAGTAGGCCAAATAAATGGACCTGGGCGCTTAAGTACCTGGAAAGCCATGTGCGGCGCGGAAACAGAACCATAGCGCTGGGGCGTAGTAGGCGAACAGTATATATAGGCCGTACCGACTGTGCCTCTTCAAGGCGAGCAAACAACACGACCCCGAAACAGACCAACAACAAGGTCTTCCCCTGAGTAAGCTGTTTCGCGACGGGTCCACTGGGGTTGGAGTAAGACTTCAAAGAGGCATTGTCTAGTCGTCGAGGACCTGATTGGGCTGTGCATTATTCCCACACCACCACTCATCTCGAGATGAGGGATGAGGGAATTGATGCTCACCGGCGACCTGTAACGGAAATGCGCAAGGCAATACAGAAAATGCGCAGACACTTCGTGAGGGAATTACAACTCGCTCACGGCGCGCCGAAATCGCTCGTGAGCGATATCTGACCGGTGCGGACCGGAGTACGAACTCATGAATGCGAGGACATGCACTTCGTACACGGTGTAGATAGTACCGCCGTGGCGCACCCCTTGTCCAAATGGCTGCAAGACGACTTAGACGCTGAAGCCATCCAGAAGGCAGAACAGACAGCTCACAACTGTGCCGCAGAGAATAATAGCCAGCACCAACACAAGTGCGATGCCTCACGATGTTTTCCCGCGCCAGCGCGCTTACAAGATCGGAAATAACTCGTCTACTGTCAAGCCAACTCACCAGCCTCCTCGGGCGTTGTTAGTCCCCTTTCAGATATGGCCTAACATCCGCAGCCGAGCCTTCGCCACGAAGCCCACCTACAGGGCTGAATCCGATGGCCGGGGCACTTGTTGCCCGATCCACGAGGCGCGTGATAATGCCGAGATGGCTGAATTGGTGTGCTTATCGAATGGCCAGATCGCTGACGTCGGACATGTTTGAGCACGCCCTCTGTATGGCCCGTTTGCATATATCGAGTGTGCCTTGAGCGTATTTGCACGTCACGAGTAGACCCGAAGGGTGTGCTCTGGGCTTGGTTCCCGACTTAGCCGAGTGCGGGAGGCCTTGAAGGTGCGTGGATGTTGTGTGACGCGAAGTCGATGGGTTTGTGTTAAACTGCAGAGGTGCGCGCTGGTATGTGTATAGGAAACCAAGGTCAATGTGTTTGTCGCTTCATCTTACGGATCGTGGTGAGCCTTACAGCAGGTGGTAATGCATGCGCATTCCACGCTGTCATCAAGAGTCCATCTGGTCGCATGCGATGGTAAGACAGGTGCGCACAGCCCCAAGAAGTGGCCACATACTAGCGTGACAAGGGCAAGGGCACGAGCAGGGATCGAGCTAAGCTAGCTTCCCCGCTCAGAATGCATGGTGCTGTGAATGCAATTGGGGTGCATATAAGCCAACGACACCCTGTTGTTGTCGAATAATGTCCCTCACGTATCCTTCTACCATCGCCGAGTCTACGCATTCTTCTTCCAGACCCATTCTACACGATAACGATACCATTAACAATCAACGTACTACCGCGACCATGAGCGACATCAACGGCAAGGCACCTGTCAATGGTGGCACTCAGTCACCTCGCACTGCTGAGCCGGTTATCAAGGTTCAACCACCGCGTCGAGAGGACCTTCAGCCTAGCTATGCGAGGGTTATCCAGCCTGACGATGCTGATGCTGACACCAACGGCTGGTATGGTGGCATGGTATGTTTACCTCAAATCCACATGTTATGCGCCACTCTAACATCCATCTAGATCAACACCTTAGGAGGCTGCATCGGTACCCTCGGAGCCATTCCCTGCTGCATCGTCTGCCCCAACCCCTACAAGCCCGTCAACCAAGGAAACGTGGGTCTCGTTACAAAGTTCGGACGCTTCGCCCGCGCCGTTGACCCCGGTCTCGTCTACGTAAACCCACTGTCAGAGCAACTCGTCCAAGTCGACATCAAGATCCAGATCGTCGAAGTCCCCAAGCAAGTCTGCATGACCAAGGACAACGTCTCCCTCCAGTTGACTTCCGTCATCTACTACCGCATCACCTCGCCCCACAAGGCTGCTTTCTCCATCTCCAACATCCGCCAGGCGCTTGTTGAGCGTACGCAGACGACTCTTCGCCATGTTGTTGGTGCGCGTGTACTGCAGGATGTGATTGAGCGTCGTGAGGAGATTGCTCAATCTATTCGCGAGATTATCGAAGAGACGGCTCTTGGTTGGGGTGTCGAGGTTGAGTCTATGCTCGTCAAGGATATCATCTTCAGCCAGGATCTGCAGGATTCGCTCTCTATGGCTGCGCAGAGCAAGCGTACCGGAGAAGCCAAGGTCATTGCTGCGAGGGCTGAAGTTGAGGCTGCCAAGCTTATGCGTCAAGCCGCCGACATTCTCAGCAGTGCTCCAGCTATGCAGATCAGATACCTCGAGGCTATGCAAGCCATGGCAAAGTCCGCGAACTCCAAGGTCAGTACATCCATACTCTATTCATTTAGACTTGCGCTAATTTGGGACTAGGTCATCTTCTTACCCGGTTTGTTCTTACTGTACGACTACATTTGATATATATGCTGACTTACTTTGCAGCTCAAAACCAGACTGTCCAGAGCGCGCTCGCTCAAGCCGACTCCGTCGGCGAAGGACCCAGCTCCCACGGCGCCAGCCCAATGGGCGTGCAGAGCTCTGCAGCACAGGAATACGGCGGCAACAGCCACGGCTTCCAGAGCGCCATCAACTCGCATGTCATTGAGAACATGTAAAGAACTGGCTTAACAACTAAGCTCTCATTCTTCTCTGTATTCATGTTGCTTTTTGGGTATTGGTTTGGTAAGCGATGAGTACGGATGGATGGATACGAAGAGGCAGATTGATAAGAGTTTGATGATGGACTTGGGCATTTTGGTTTCCGAGTTTCTTGATACCCTATTCCGGCAGCAGTATTATCGGTTCACTCGCTACTTGTTCTGATAGACCCTTTTACGATAATGATAATGCCTGATTATACTCAACGAACTTCGTCTCATCAGCGGTGAGTGAAATCTTGCTCGATGCTGATCTGCTGAGATAGAAATTGCCGCATACGAGGGGAGATTGAGAGATGGAAAAGGGCGCATGGCGCGCCTGGGAGGTAGTCACATCATCTGGCTAGGGCGATAGCAGGGTATACAAACTAATGTATTCATTACACTGGACTATCTCTCTATCTATCGGTCCCCTAAAAACTCATCGTCGTCATTAACCCCCACGATGCCTTCCTCGACAGTCACCGCCAAACGACTGAAGCATGGCTCGCGCTGCGTGACCTCATCGGCGCCAACACAAAAACATGTTAGCGCCAGCTACCAAGCATATATAATCTCTGCTTTCTGACCTTTTCTCCTCTTCTCGACACCCTCAAATGCATGAGTGACTCTCCAAAAAGAGTTGTTCGTTCGTAAATGACCTTTGGAAAGTGAAGTGGTTGGCGATGACATGAACGTTTTGCGCCAAAAACAAGTTGGCTTGTGGCCATGTGGCGGACACGATATAACTTTGAGTGATTCGAAAACAATACTTGGAAGGCATGTCGAGTCCAAAAGTGAAGTTTCATGTGTTCATTCATCTACTTCAGCGTACTGTACTTCTCCTCGACTCTTTCCAAACCATCCATTTACCAGGTTATGCCACCTTGTATACTCCAAAACGTCCAAGCTTACATGCCATGATCGCTCACTCAAACGCACAATGCTTGGCTCTAATAGATGCTTTGATACAAAGGGAATTTGAAATTTAAAAATGGAATAGTAATAGCAGAAGCTCCAGCTCCCGCAAAATGATCAACAAGAATGGAGGAAAGAATAACAGGGTGTCTGACCAGAAACACGGACTTATGAAGGGAGAACACTCTTGTCGGTCGTTCCATTCCCGTTCCCGAGTATCGGTCGGGCCTCCTTCTGTTGTGGTTCGCCATATGCCCACTTCGTCGCTGCGTTGACGATGTTTGCGCATACTGGGTCAACGTGCTTGACCCATAATGCCGCGGTTCGGTATAGGATGTAGTAAAAGACCGCAATGGCGATAAGAATGTGCGTCGTCGATCCACGCTGGAGGTCTTGTTGCTCGCCCTTCTCGTTCCTCGGCGGGTTCATGGCGGAAGGTAGGTAGATCATCCAGGTAAGCACCGACTTGATAAAAGTGTTGTGCAGCAGGTATACAGGGAAACTGACGCGACCGAGGAAATTGAAGACAGGCGACGTAAGGAGTTTGCGTGCGTTCCTCGAAAAGAAGATGCCCAGCAGGACAAACGCGGCTCCCAGGTGGTCCCAGTATCTTCGGATATCCGTCTTATCGGCGGTCAAGCTGTGCATGATGGTGGCCATTGTGTGCGACCAGCGTGTGTTCTGGGCCGAGTCCTGGGGAAATCCAGCCATGAACATGCCGCAGATTATCATGATAGCGGGGATGGGGGCGGGTAGGACGGAGGTGGCGGCATCCTTGTAGTGGTTGTGCAACTCGGCTACAAACATGCCCGTGACGATGTTGAGGCCCTTGATGGAGCCAACTGTGAGGTCTGCTGTAGTTAGCGATTGCCCAATTCGTTTGCTGGCCGGAACTATACACACCTTTGCCAACCTGCCAGAAATACATGTACATGATGCCGTAGATGATGAAGCGCGCTTTCGGTCGCACCAGAACCGTAGCAAGCATGGTTGTATAGACCATAAATGCGCCTTCCAAGAACATATGCAGTGTCCACTGTGTGCCATCGTACTCGTCCCAGCCGGTTGTCCATGTCTCTGTTTGCGCCCTGAACAGCGACTTGAAAGCCATCCACAGCGTAGGCTCCTGTCGGTGCCAACCCTGCCGTATCCACTGCGCATCGACGTGCTTCGTCATATGGTATGCGTTCGTATTCGCCATGAACCAGGTAACGATGGTCGCCGCCATGGTGGGGAGAATCAGCCTTCCTGAGCGCGCGAGCGCACTTCGTGCAATGCCGTGGAAGGCAGCATCGTGATTTCCCTGACGCGACTTGCTAATCGGCCCAATCGAATTGACGTATCCAGTTACGAGGAAGAAGAGGGCTACGGCGCTACGACCTCCGACGGCGAGGCGGAAGAAGGGGAGTTGGAAGAGGTGCGGCGCGGATTTTGCGTCTGCGGCGGGCTGGTGTAGCCATGGTACAAACGCAGTACATAGGTGACCGCATACGACCATAAAGGATGCTATGCCTCGGAGGCCCTATAGCACGCTGTTAGCCCCAGTTACACGACTGTGCTTGTGACGGCGGGTACGACTTACATCTATCCAGTTGGCGTCGCGAGGAGGCATGGTGAGAAGATGTAGCGTGCAAAGCCAAAAGAAAGACTACTATTCAAGGAAGGTGAGGATTTAAGAACTATAGTATGTGCTCAGGCGCATCGCCGTGGCTTCGAGACTTGCTGATGCGTGCCCAGGTGGCTTGGAAATTCCGCTGGTGCCGAATTCCGGGTACCAAGAAGGCGAAGAACAACGGCGCTCGTAATGATGGAATCGCTGCAGCAAAGCTCAAAACGGACGGCAAAGAGGGGAGCAGAGGTCAAAAGGAAGTGTGAGTGTAAACCAGCGGTTTGGCCTTGAGAAGCCAATGCACCCTGGCCCTACCGGTGGGGGCTACATCTTTTCAGGAACGCGCACCCTGCAGTAGACGCGGCTCACTGGGCAGATGCTGGACAGTTGGATAATGCCAAGAGAGGCTATCGGGAAGGTCACTTTAGCACTCTCCTTTGGCACGCCATCAGTGGTTTGCGGGCGCGGCAAAACCCCCAGGTAATGCTTGAACTTGATGGCAAGACTCTACCACAGATCACCCCTGAGCCGCAATGAGGTTGGTGCTCATGTCGCGTGCCCGGGCAGATGAAGCATGGAGCATGAAGAACGAGGGAAACCGCATCCCGCGCTAACAAGCTGCATCTGTGGCCTTTACAACTCCATCGCGTAGCGCTCTCCTGACGATGGTCCCTATATCTGGAACTCTCCGCTGGCGGATGTAACACAGCCATTGCAGCTGCACTTAGCCCTGATCGTCCGGAACCGTTCCTTACTACAAGACCAAATTTAACGCATAGTTACGAACCACGAGACCACCACGAAGAGCTCCGCAGACCAACTACCCGCGTATTCGGATCACGATAGCGGTACCACTGCTCATCGGCGCATGGAGGCGTAAGCTAGTGCGACGCCTCGTAGAATCAAGCACACGGAAGAACGTTTCGTTGTTTTGGCGGGCTGACGTGGAGGGCCGCTTTAACCGAGACTGCAACCCCTGAGCCAAGTTAGGGGTCGCTGCAACGCATCGTCATTTGCCAGAGCGTCCGTCTCCGATAGAGTGCCGTTTCAAATCCGAGCGGTAACAATGTCTTGTGTGTCTTGACAATCGCGCGGCAAACCTGCCAAGGCCTCACCGCGCATGGAGCTACGTATACAGAAAGAACACGTCTTCCAAAGTTGTTACCTAGATGAATTTCTCCTTGTGTTCGCACCCTTCTCGTGATAATCCGATTGCATTCTCGTAAAATTGCTGCGTTACTTGGAAGAACGTATTTCCACTGTCACGATAAGTTAACTAATCATGAGTCAAGATTTGAGATACGCCTTCAGCGCCTCTGTCATTGCACTCCACCTGCCTTGCCCATCGTAGCGTGTAGCAACTGCTTGAAGCCGCCACCCAGCACCGCAGGCAGCGTGCTTGCCGTACCTGGCGTTGTCTTCGCCCACAACACCCCAATCGAGAAGCCGGACGCGTGCTCAGGAGCGATGACATTGTCATTGGCCTGACACAAGCTGGTTAGCAAATATCGGCATGCATGACTGTTTGCCGGATCGAAGAGCCTTACATCAACAAGCAACCAATGTAGCTTCTCCTGCAGATACGTTCCAACAACATTCTCATCCATACTGCGCAATTCTCCCGTTCGCATCCGGTCTTCCAGGGCTACAGTCAATGCAACTACGCCATTCGTCTGCATCTCGGTCTTCTCCTGGCCAACCGCGTTCTGGAAACCTGCATATCCAACGAACCCAGGCTCTGACATCCATGCCTGAGTATTCGCAGGTCCGGCGTTGATGTTCATATCTGCGTCCAAGAAGACGAGGACCTTGGAAACACCTCCAGGCCCCATGTGTTGTGCGCGTATGACAGCGGAGTACTGGTACCGGACATCGCTGTTCTGCGGACCGGCGACATACTGTTCGGCGCGTGCGGTCTCCCACGAGAACTGTGACGTTGCATTCGCCCCGTACAGTGCGTTCACTCTACCAGCCAGAGTGTCGGTTGCGGAGAGCCCGAGGAACTCAGGATACGTGGAGCCGAAGATTGTGTGGTCGCGAACAGAGGCTGAGGTCCAAAAGTCGCCTGCTGTATTGCGATGGAATGGATAAAGAGCTGTCGACGTCAACGTCATCAAATGTCGAGTAAGCGGTCCGTGATGCACTCACGTGTATTTTCGTCCGCCTCTGAGTACGGTGCAGTCGCAAACGTCGGCCAAGGGTTGACGTGGCTTTCGACGAAGCTATCCGGATGAAGGTCTTGCCAGATGGCAAGCAATCGGTCGACGTTGCTGCAATAGTCAACACCCCACTAGAGTAGTTTCTGCGGTACTTACGTATGAAGCAACCAGAAGATGGGATCAAATGCAGAGTACGCCGCATCGTACATATGGCCACCACGACCAATGGCATTATGCAAAGTATCATGCACCGACTCCAGGCTATTCGGAATAGCACCTTCGGTACTCATTTCCACCATGCTGTTACTGACGTCCAGATAGTTTGCTTGCATGCCCAGCATCTGGTAAGTCTGCTGCATGAGGTTCACCCGATTGCTGTCGAGAGACTCCGCTACAAGGTCGTTCTGGGATTTCGCATTTACAGCCATACTAGCCGGGTATCTCTTTGTTGAATTCCAGAGTATCCACGGTACACTCTTGAAGTCGTCAACTGGCAAAGGATGGAAGTAGTAAGCGTACAGCGGATTTGGAACAGACATTGTGGTCGTCGACTCCCCACTTGGAACTTCAATCTCGACCGTCTCCTGTTGTACGATCGCGGGGAAGGAGCTCGTGTCCTTGGGCGGTACGGCAGCCGCGTCCCAATACGGCATTCGGAAGGTGCTTAGAGCATTGTACATTCTCTCCCTCGCTTCTCCCACCGGAAACTCTGAGATTGCTTGCTGAGCATGGGAGTAAAGCAGTTCCTTTTCAGAGTCAGTGGACCGGATAATTCGCAAGTCCCCTTCCATACTTCTATGAGGCCGAGATAGGGTCTGTGCCAGGTTGGAAACAGATTGCTGCCGTGAGCACAGTAGCCGTTGCTTCCGTTCGGATGTTTGCCAACGTCATCCCATGGTATGTAAGGCCGGCCGTGTATACCTGATGTTGATTAGTGTGTCGCTATCTGGTTACATGTTGCATATGATAGTGACAGAGCTTACCTGCGATCTGATAGTAAGAGAACTTTTCGTATTGACCTACACTCTGCAGCCGCCGCAGTCCTAGCAGATAGACGTTCAACTGATCTTTGTTCCGCTCTAACTCCCGTATCTCTAATCTAGGATGTACGGTATCGATGTCCAGTCCGCGGACGCCAAGGATAGGGTGTATCGAGTTCGTTTGTCGTGTTTTAACACCCTTACTTGGTACGGCAGTTGAGTTTGCTGGGGCATACAACATGGAAACGCAAATAAACAACCAAAGCGCTCTGGCGAGCATCCTGAAAGCCACCAAATATTGGCTAACGCAAGAAGCAAAGTGAGTTGTCGAGAGCGCGGAAACTTTTGCGAGAGAGCAGCATCAAGTTCTGGGGGATTTGAGACGAGTACAAGACAAGCCTCCAAAAATGGCACAACGAAAACAATTGTGAGCTGATCCTACATTGACAGTATAAACATTGCACACGCTGCTGATCAGTTTGTTCTTTATCGTGCATATGTAGCTAAGCGTGATATGCTCACACTGGTGATCAAGCCTATGTAGTACTCGACGCGTAAGGACTGAGTCGCAGCGAAACGGCTGACTGGTACAGACTCAAGAAGCACGCAAAGTGCTAAACATAGTATGTAATCTCGTGGATTGAATACTAATACAGGGCAGTTTATAATAACACAAGCTCGGTGTGGGAATGAGAAAGCACCGCATTAATGTGTCAGATTTTTGGGCGTTCACTCATCTTGTTTATTCTACACGGCATATATGGCAAGCGGCTTCGCGATTAGAATCTCTGCAATATGCTCGCAACTGGATAGTCAAACCAGACCTATTCACCTAGTTTGTTGATGCGGCGTTAAATGGCGGCGGGTTAGCTGTACACCACACTAGTCGTAACCTCAACACCGCCATGTTGCGACACATTGCTAACGACCCAGACCAAATTGGCCAAACACAACGTTGCACCTTCCTATTCAAGTTTCGGCGTGGCTTCAGCCATAAACTGAGTTGCAAACTTAGCAAGAGAATATCGCCTCTAGAATTGTGTATATGAAAACTTTCAGGCTGATAGTAAGCCATGGATATGCAAAGAGACGCCGTCGACTCCAAGTCATACAAAACGTAATAGTACAGCCACTAGAATAGTACTCAACACACAAGGACACCGGCTAGTCCAGCTTCAAATCCATATTTGCGTACGCATACTATGCGTGGTCACCCTCACCAGTCTCGTCGTGATGCATTTCAGTCCCGTGAAAAGCATCGCCGAACGCCGAATCATCGACAAGGTCCAAGCCCAGGTTGTCATCGTGTCCATAGTCGGCCAGAGCGTCTCCAGCACTATCGATGTTGTCGAAGCTTCCAAAGTCGGCGGTGTCGAACATGCTGCCTGCATCAGCGTCGATGTTGGATTGAGGCATCCCGCCGACATTGTTCGGGCGCTGGTTGTTGCTCATGTTTGGCTGCTGGACACCGCCGGCTGGCTGTTGGGCATTGCCTGACTGGTCGTTCATCGTCCAGTCATCAGTCTTGTCTCCTGCACCCGCCATGCCGGACATTTCTACATCCAGATCCAGAAGATCGGCTCCAACATCAAGGCTTGTATCCTGTTGATCGAATGCCGACGACTGGTTCATGTTGCCGTGTGGTACATTGGGTGTACCGGTGGCGGACTGCGATTGACTCGGTGGTTGCGATAGTCTAGGCAAGGACATGTTGCCGATAGGTGTGCCAGAAAGTGATCCCGACCCATATTGATCCAAGAGGTTCGCGGCAGAGTTATCTTCCATTGAGCCCTGGTTGTTCATGCCATTCGATGTGCCGTTCGCTTGCTGTTGGGCTCCGTTGCCGTTCATCTGCGCTTTTGGAGGTGAGGGTTGTTGTACTTCAATAAAACCACCCTTGTCTACACAGACAACCGCCTTCTTCTCATCAAACTTAACACCCAGCGACTTCTCCAAATCTTGTACAACTCCTTCGACCGGGTTTGCGTCATCACCGTCGCTCTCGGTGGAGCGAGATAGATCTCGTAGTCGGCGTTCGGCTTTGATATAGGTCCTGGTGCGCTTCAACTGTGCCACCTTCTTCGCGTGCTCGGCCTTCATCTTGTCAATCTCAGCCTGCTCGTTCTTCGTGTACTCTGCTACGCGTTTCTCGAAGTCCTTGAGTTGGTCTGCGTCCAGCTTGTAGTAGTTTTTGATCTGGTAGTTGTCCTTTCCTGGCTCCACATTCTCAGCTCCTGGGACGTCCAAGATGCCAGCAGTAAGCGGAGCAAGCTCGCCCATGAGGCCTAGGCCTAGATCGATGGGCGCGATCTTTCCAACAGCGTACGGCGATGAGAAGATCTCCTCCATCCACTCGTGATGCTGCTTGTAGCGCGACAAGCTGATCTCGCGCGGAGTGAGGAAATCGAAAGCATCTTGTGTCGCGTTCTCCTCCTCTTCGAGAGTGTTGTCCGGCGCTAGCACGCCTGCAGCGGGTTGACGGGGTTGAGGTTGTGTCGGCAAGCGCTGGCGTTTGGCTGGCGGAGGTTGTGCAGGATATTGCCTGCCTGGGTACATGGGGTTGTAGCCCTGTGGCTGAGGGCCTCTCATCGCCTGGTGTCCAAACTCGACTTTTGGCCAATTCGCCTGGTCGACCAGCATAAATTCCTTGCGCATCAACGGTCCAGCTTGCTGCAGTTGAGCGCGCATCTGGAACTGAGCCTGGACCTCTCGTGGGACGGGTATTTGGGCGGCGGGCATTCTGCTTTGTGGATCTGCGGGCTTGTAATGTACAAGCCAGAGATTGGGATCGATGTTTCCAGGCCCTGCGGCGATTCGGTAGCGATGGCGCGCGTGCACGGCATATGGTTCGCCGGGGTAGTGGTAGCCACTGTTGTGGACGAGGACTTGGAGAGTCTATAGGGTGTTAGGCATTGCGCGCAAATGACGCCTTGGTATACATACGTATCCGCGCACGTTCATATCGTATGCGGTCTCAGCATCAGCCCAAACCATGCCGTCCGAGGCGAACATGGTGCCCATGCGCGGGGGCTGCCATGTGAGGATGACAGTGCCATCTTGGGGAGGGGCGGCAAGGTAGGTCCACGCGACGGGGGACGTGTCGCGCACGATCTGCGGGCCTTTGATGAGGTACTCGAGGGCTTGCGGAGCTTGGAGGCCCGGGAGAGTAGGGAAGCGGTACGAGGATATCAGGTGCACATGGGGAAGGAGGTGATTCGGCACCTGCGCACTCGGGTCGGGGGCATGGTAGGCTTGGTTCATGCCGTACATGATGGCGGAGATGCTGCGACGGGATTGCCGCGTCGGTCGGGTCGGTTTGGGTGGTGATGCAGCGGGCGCGAAAGCTGGGGTTGGTTGATGTCTGGAATCTTTGGCGCGTTGGGACCGCGCGACTGCCAAGATGTCGTCGTAAGCGGTTAGCGCGGTACTCGGCTCCTACGAACACATGTTCAACAGCAATCACGATCATGGTGTACACGAAGGTTACTGTCCTGTGTGTTAGTGAAAGATTTCTGGCGTATAGTTTCAGAGAAGACTTCGCTCCGTACGCGCTAGACAGCTTCAACGAGGATGTTCACCTTGTGCACGCGAGCACCTAGAAGATCCTATCTCAACATTCCTGTATCGTCGGAGTGCTGAAGCCAGCTTCGAGCATTATGCTTACTGCCTTCTATGGGTAGTCTTTTCACATAATTCTCCGGTGCTGACCTTTACCTAAGTACTCATTCTGCACAGTTGCGGAAGGGTGATTTCGAAGGTTCAATACCAACACTAAAATCAACCAACTATCGGGCATTAATGATACGTCGCTATGAAATACGCAGCGCCATGTTGTGGTCATATACAGCAAAACTGGATGCAGTGTAGGTAAGAAAGTCTTCTATTGCGAAGCTATTCATGTTTCCTCTTCAACCTACCAATATATGGAAGTTGAGCCTTTGCAATGAGCCTACCCGCAACCTGCCTAGGTAATGTGACGTATCATAGGATCACTCGGAGCTTCTCTTGTATGCGAGTAAGTGTACATGTTCTTAGCAAAGCGATAAGAAGCTTCCCCGCCAGTGATGAAGGGAACGAGTGGAATATTTGCGTGAACTAGCCATCCCAATGGAAGATGCAGCTTTGACTGGCGGCATAATTCGCGAGTCAGCCCCACAAACTTGCATGGTGTTTTCGGCGAGAACGGCTAAGTCGATTGAGTGGGGGTAAAATGTCACCAGCCCACAACACGAATTTTGATCAGGCCTCGCTCACTCAGGGCGTCGAGCCATGGAATAACGCTATAAACGTTACAATTTGACGACTTTTCATCAATCACCGATCACCGATCACCGCTCATCGCCCGTTTGGGCGACGGTGAATTCGGCGGTCCTCTTGGCAAAAGAGCAAAACCGGGCTTGTGGTTTAGTGGTATAATACTCCCTTAGCATGGGAGTGGTCCAGGGTTCGATTCCCTGCAAGTCCATCTTTTTGCGCTGCTGTACCGTTCCCTAGATGGGGGAGAGTGTGGAGGTGTGGTGAAGGTTTGGGATTTTTTGCGTTTTTTGGTAAGACGGGCATCACGACTCGTCACTCTACGCAGGTGATGCAGGTTCTTTGCTCAAAACCCGCCCTATGCTCATTTCTACAGCCATCGTATGATGATGTCTTTATTTTGTAACCGTTTTGTCGGCCTCAGGCGTCTGGTGGTTGTGGGCAGCATTACAAAATCGCGCTTCTCCAACAACCCCTTGGCCAAAGACATGCGACACCAGCTGCGTACTGACCAGCGTGATCGATCAGTGTAGCGCATCAGTTTTGAGCACATGCAACAAGAGTGTGTGGACTTCAACAAAATTACGACACCTCTACTTAGCAAACAGACCCATAGATCTAACTTTTGAGTCTCTTCAGCAGCTCCAAATCACAAAGTACGATCCCACAAAGACGGTCTTGGTTCACACTTCGCTCGCTCGACCGCATGTCTGAAGGCATTGATCGCTATATGATCTGGCGAACCCAGTGACGGATCCGTGTTCAAAGCTTTGTCAATGCTACGTATGTCGCTCAACGAAGGAGAGGAAGACGCATCCTCAGCATCGCCAGCCGTACGCGAACGGAATTAGTAATTTGGATCATAGTCGTACACACCAGAAGGTTCCTTGAAGAGAAAGTCAAGCATGCCACGATGCATCTCTGTCTTCTCACTCAATCTCGGAGTTCTCGGCTCCGCACCAACATTCAAAAGCACCAAACCCCACTCTATCGCATGCCGTAATGTGTCAAGACTTATCATCTCAGGAGTACCTTCAATTTCCGCATGTGTGGCTTCCTCTCCATTCTTCTCTGCTGCTTCACTAGCGACTGTCCTAGCAACATTTTTGGCGATGGGCACAACCACATCGCGCAGTGTTTCAAGCACTGCCCTTTTGTTATCGTGCTTGAGCGTCTCCGATGGATCTTCCTCGTTGTCATTGTCGTACCTATAGACGTATGCTATTGGGGATGTACGTTTGCGAATACAGGTGAAAAGGTAGCGCCAAGCGTGTAGTTGGGGCAAATTTGCTCGGAATCTCACTATAGACTCGGGTTTCCAGTCGTTGATGATCTGGTCAACCGAACTTAGAGCATCGCGGTCTGCTGCGCCTGATACGGGATATCTGGATTTGGATTTCCAATCGTTGATGACCTTTGCCAACTCATCTTTAAAGGCGCCAGCGTCGTCCGTCTTGCGCCGTTTCCGTGGTGGTTCAACGGTCTGACCGAGAGCAAACTGTGCCCAAGTATCGCTCTCTTCTGGGGTATACGCGAGTTTGGAGTCGTCGACAATGGTGCCTTCTGGCTTCTTTATCTCATCGCCGTACATGCGGTCCAATCTGGCCAATTGATCATCGATGACTTTTCGCAATTTCTCTAGACTTGGACGACCATCCGGGTCATATCGCAGACATTCCGAGACGATCTCGCACAGACCGACACTGTATTCTTTGGGAAGCTCGCTCAGACGTCTTGGAAAGATCCCTTCCTTCTGGCTGACATTTCCTTTCTTGAATTCATCATTATACACCCAAGTTTTGCATCTCTCATGGGCTTCGTCGTAGAAGTCAGTACCTTCATTATGAGCGACCATAAGCGCCCAGGCTGTCATGGCTAGACTCCATATATCCGACTTCTCCGAGACAGTCCATCTTTCCGGGAACCAATCCAATTCCTTGAGCGCGGAATGCTCTCGTTCCTGTTGAAAGATGAGTATCGAGAGAACGAGGAGATACAGATAACTTACTGGGGGCTGCATGCCAGGCGTACCGTCGTATCTTCTCTCGTCTGTACCCTTATCACAGGCAATGTCAAAATCAGAAACAACAATGTTCGGATATGCAGGATACTTGGTATTAGCGGCCTGCAGGAATATGTTCGCATCCTTGATATCGGAGTGCACAATTGCCCGCCAGGTCTCTTCTTGGTCTTCGGGTGCTGCATTCGGTGATGAGCAGGTACCATCCCGCAACGCCAGTAGTGCCTCAGTCACTTGGCTGAGAAAGTACCAAATGAAGTGCTCGGGCACAGGTCTCTCTTCTTTCTTATGCCCGTCGTGGATGCGTGCGAGAGTCCCCAGTTCAGCAAACGACGTGTATATGTTGTACAGATGTCCTTCTAAAACCTGGTTTCCTGTATGAGTACGGAGTGTTTTGGTAGATTTCCGGTGACTGTGGCCACGACATGGTATCATATGCGAACAATTGAGGGTACTAATTATCTGGTTCATATGAATCTCGTCCTTGGCGTCCTTCTTCTCTTTGTCTGATATTGCTTCCAGACATTTGACCGTGACGCGCTAGTGATAGGTTAGCACAGCTACCTGGCTATTTTTTTTTAACCTTGACTCACCTCTTCAATTTCACCAGTGCTGCTGGTACGAACACATAAGTATACGGACTTGCGAGGCATTGTTCCCTGGCTGAAACGCCGTTTGCCATCGTCGAGCCGAGTCTGGTGCAGAGTCATCGCAAACTTCCAACGACCGTTATCATGATTGTAGAAGGCTTTTCTCTGACCTGCTGTAGGAGCTAAGAAGCGTTTGCGTTCAGGGTCATTCTGAAGAAAAAAGGTAGGCGAGCGCTCGCCGCTCGAGACTTCCGATGACGCCGCGGACGCATCATTGTCGTCAGCCTCCGGTAATGCGGGTGGTCCTGCTACTGGTAATACTGGTGGCGGTGGAATAGGTAGAGGGGGTGGTGGAGCGACCAGCGGAGCAGCGCCTGGCGCAACTGCCGTCGCCGCAGGTTGACCAGGGGGTCTTTTCTTCTCCCAATATCTCCTCTTCTTGTTCCACTGTGCTACGACCTTTCTTCCTGGGCATCCTCGGGGAAGATCTCTGCCCCTTATTTGGAGTAGCCATCGCATCAGCGCAAGAAACGCATTTCTCGTCGGATCGTCGGGGAGGTTATTGTAGAGCGTTGTATCATCGGCATCTATACTTCCGTATGTGTCAAAACCGTTGACATTATCGACCCATGGGCGCGGAGGATTCGCCATTGCATGTAGATTGTGCCGGGTGCCTTGGAACGTTACGGGGGATTATGCGAGGATTTGCAAAACAGATTGCGCAAGTCTGCGCTCAAGTGAAATCGCATCTCCATTTCGACAAATAACGTCAAAGCCTCTTGTAATGCTTTGTTGATGGCCTTGAGGTGGTGGTTTGATGCAAAGACAATGGAACTGGGGATGCGGAAGCAAAGAAGGACTCTAGGGGTCTTACTTAGTAAGACGCTTTGTCGCATTTGGCAAGAGTTCCTGTTTAGAAGTAAATTTTAACTTTTATTTTTCATGCAATTGATTTCGTTACCCTTTTAGCGTTCATATCTCCTGCTTCCACTCCTTGTTAAACGCCCGCCCAATAACCATTCTCCTCACCTCACTCGTTCCAGCACCAATCTCATACAACTTGGCATCCCTAAGTATTCTACCAACGGGCACTTCGTTCATGTATCCCATGCCGCCCATCAACTGCACGGCATCAGCCGCGACCTCGCTCGCCCTCTCTGCCGCATACAGGATGGCGCCTGCGCAGTCTTGTGTCTTGATATCGGGACTAGCATGCGACTCATCCACAGCGCGGGCGACACTGTATGTGAAAGCTTGACTAGCCCGGTATTTCGTGTACATATCCGCCAGCTTCCCCTGCACAAGCTGATTATGCGCGATCGGCGTACCAAACTGCTTCCGCTGGTGTGTGTAAGGAAGGACGTTGTCAAGAGACGCCTGCATGAGACCCAGCGGTCCCGCCGACAGAACCAGGCGCTCTAGATCCAGGCCCTCCATCAAGACGCGGACGCCGCGGTTGATCTCGCCGAGGACGTTTTCCTTGGGGACGAAGACGTTCTCGAAGACGAGTTCGCCGGTGTTGGAGCCACGCATACCCAGCTTGTCTAGTTTGTTCGCGACGCTGAAGCCAGGGGTAGAGGTCTCGAGGATGAAGGCTGTGATGCCTTTGGAGGCGGCGTTGGGTTCGGTTTTGGCGTAGACGACTATCACGTGTGCGTCCGGGCCCTGTGAAGACAGTGTTAGCATATATTTCCTTTAACAGCCATACATGACAAGGAAGCGTACGTTTGTAATCCACATCTTCGTGCCATTAAGCAAATACCCGCCATCCACCTCCTTCGCCGTACTCTTCATACTAACAACATCACTCCCGGCACTATGCTCGCTCATAGCCAGCCCACCAATCTTCTCCCCACTGATCAAACCAGGCAGGTACTTCTTCTTCTGCTCCGCATTCCCGTTCAACATCAACTGGTTGACGCACAACTGGCTGTGTGCCGCGTAACTCAGTCCTATGCTGCCGCTCGCCCGCGACAGCTCCTCCATGACAACACAATGGGCTTGGTAGCCCATTGCCAGTCCGCCGAACTCCTCATCTGCGGTTATGCCTAGGAAACCCGCTTCGCCGAACTTCTGCCACATTTCGTTGGGGAACTCATTTTGTTTGTCCGTGCGCGCGGCGACGTCTTCGGGGATCTCGCGTTGGGCGAAGTCGCGGACCGAGTCGCGGAGCTCGTCGAGGTCGGATTGCGAGGGGGGTGTGAAGGCTTTGGGGTGCTTGGTCGATGCGTGGCGGGCTGTGGTAGTGGAGAGGATGGCGGCACGAGGGACGCGTGTTTGCCGGATGCTGCGTGTGAAGAGGCGGGGGGCTAGGGAGGCCATTTTAATGATGGTATAAACTGGAAATTGAAAGGTCGAAAGAAACTCGTCAAGAAAAGTGGTGAGATGTCTGGCAATACCATCTTGGGAGTTCGGTTTGCGACGGCTGATGGACCGAGGCACCTTCCTAACTGATGGATTGCGGAGGACCAGGGTCCGGGGAAGAGGGAAGCGGCGTAATTCCGCCCTCCATCCCCGTCTATGAACAGACAAGAGCACCACCAACAAGCCCTCAAAGGTCCTTGACACGCTTCATTGCCCTGTCATTACACTCCCCCACATCCAGCGCGACCAAAAACCTACTCACAGCATTATACGCCGCGACCGTTGCCGTCAACTCCACAACCATGGTGTCCTCCAACACGCCCTTTACCATCTCCGCAACCGTATCTTCCACCTGCACACCCACAGTCATCTGATCCGTATAAACCATAACCGCATACTCCTCCTTGCTGAACCCCAACAGCCCCTCCCTCTCCACCATCCCATGTTTTGTAACAGGTAAATCAAAGATAGTCTGAAGTACTTCTCTGGACACGCCTGCTTTCAATGCTAGAGCGGCATGCACGTCCCACTCGTGGACTGCGTGATTCAGCACTGCGATGCGACTTATGGCTAGCTCTTTCAATTTGGCTGGTAGACTGGTTTGCGTGCGGATCGCGCCGATGAATGAGTTCCAGCCGTCTGCTACGGCGGGGTTGTGCAGGAGCGCAAGGTCGAGTGGGATAAGCGGGCGCGGCTTTCGTCGCTCGGCGATGCGCTCGTAGATTGGGCGGGCTTCTTCATTCGGCGGCTCGCTTGGGGCGTAGGGGACGCGCATCTTGGGTCGGAATGTAGTGCTGAGGGGTCGCACGTAGATAGCAGATATGATGGGCCGGGTTTGAGGGTGGCTGAGCTTTGCTAGATGTGGACGGAGGAACATTGGATGCAAGGATGCAAGGAAAGAGGGAGATTATATATCACTCTGGTGCATATGCAGGGACTATCACGGATATACTTTCCGGTATACGGAATAGCGAGGCATGGCACTGGTGAGCATTGTTAGTTGTTCAGATAAGAGTGAGTAAATCAAGTTTTTGGAAGATCAGTCGATCAAAGATTCATTCATGCGTAGTTTTCCGTAGACCCAACTATATGAAATATATACATATCCAACACCGCAAAAAGCGAACTAATCTACAACCTGCTCTGCTCATCAAAGACATTCGGTAACCTAGGGATACCTTCCAATCTAGTTGTCTTCTTACCCGCTGGTGCGAGCGTGACATTGTATGTCAAGTCGAGCTTCGCCTTGGGGTCCTTGCTAGGCTCAAAGTCTAGCAGCAGATCGTCCTTGACGGCAAAGACAGTGTCGTTCGAGACCCATTGGTCGTCGCGGGGGTATAATTGCGTAATGAGCGGCTTGTAGTTCTCGGCTGAAACCATGAGATGGATGTGTGCGGGACGGAAGGGGTGGCGGTCGAGAGTCTTGAAGAGTTGGCCAGCGGCGCCTGTTGTGTGTTAGTCTTGCTCATAAGATATCTTTAGAGGATAACATACCATCGGTAGGCAGCGAGTACGCTGTTGGCTTGTAGCAGTAGTACCAATACTCGCCCTTCTCGTTTGTGGTGAACTTTCCGCGCAGGTTGTTGGGCTCCTGGTTCTCGGGATCTTGGAAGTCGTACTTTCCGTTTGCGCTCGCTTGCCAGATGTCGATGACGGCGTTGGGGATGCCCTTCTTGGTGTCGAGATCCATGACTACACCGTGCATGAGAGTGGTTTGGCCATCGGGATGCGGGTTCCGTATGATGGTGTCGCCGAGGTCGCGGAATGGCGAGTGTGGTGACCAGAAGGGGCCGAGGATTGTGGAGGAGGTGGGTGTCTCGCCAGACTCGTTGATGTGCTTGTGTGCGATCTCGTCGACCAATCTGAGAAGACGTTAGTATGACGTTCCAAAATTGCTCAGGGTTCAATAGCTTACGATTCTACACCCAGAACATCTGAGATGCGATGCGCCTCGTTCCTGGTGGCGGTTGTAGTCTTGCCAATGGAGTTCACGAATCGTACACCCTCAAACCATTCCTCGTTGGTCAGCTCAACCTCGCGGATGAAGTCATGAAGGTGTCTGATCAGCTTGCCCATGACAAAACGCGTCCGGTCTGGCACATTTGGTCCAATAGCGTTGATGACGGCGTCGGTGAAGTTGGGATCGAAGCGGTGCGAGCCATTCTCCTGAACCTCAGGCGCTGTCTGTGTGTTTGGGTCCATTTTGGATGTGTAGTTATATACGGAATCAAGGTACAAAGGGTATCAAAGGGCTGGTGAAGGGAAGTAGTGCGGAATAGACATCATGCCTGGGAGGCATGAGCTTAATAAATAGTAACTGAATTCTACCGCCCGCAGCCAACCGAACCGATACCGTTGACAATGGCCGTCTCTCTAGCCGCGGATCAGGCGAGACCTTGTCAGAGCTGTCTGGCGGCATGCTGTACCGGCTTTCAAACGTACTATGAGCGCGAGGAGCTACAGTGCCGAAGGCTGCGCCAGGTCGCGACGGCTGCCCCGCCTCGCGCTGGGCGGGTTGGCGAATTAAAAGGGAGCCGATGTGGAAGAAGTCTTACCCGGCCTTTTTCCCTCGCAATTTAGCGTCATCAGCACTAATGCCCCGCCTTCGGCGCAGACCCCGGAAGTCTAGAGACGCGACGCGATGGCTGAATTATTGCAAGGCGGAGGGAGTATTCGGCATACATCCCAGAGTGACAGCTTTTGCTGCGAGCTGTTTGTTTACGCGAAAGACACGTCCCGTAGAAGGAAGCAACCACCAACATGGTCAAACATCACCTCATGATCGGCACTTGGACGCCGCCAGGTGTGATAATCACGGTCGCATTTGATGATGAAACATTGAAGCTGGAGCTGGTGAAGAAGACGGAGATTCCAGAAGATGAGCCCATAAGCTGGATGGCTTTCGACGTATGCGCGCAACTCTCGACTTTGGATGCGACCAACAATGGCTGATGACCAGGGAAACAGCACAAGAGAAAGAACATCTACGGTGCTTCTATGAAGAAATGGAGCTCGCACGAAGTCAAGAGCCCGAGTGAGATCGTGCATACAGGCAGCTTTCCCATGGGCGGACATCGTAAGCGACACACCATGAAAGCTCGATGCCATTACTGACAAGTTCAACAGCCAAAGCAAATGATGCCGACACCAAGACCCGTGCGATCTTCCTCCTTCCCGCTCAGAAGCCTCCATATGCCGTGTACTGCAATCCGTTCTACGACTATGCTGGCTACGGCAACATCTTCTCGGTCAACCCGGAAGGCCACATCAAAGAGAACATCCAGAACTTCGAGTACTGCGACAAGACTGCCATCCACGGTATGGTCTTCGATCCCTCAGAGACCTATCTCTACAGCGCGGATATGTGGGCAAATCGCGTCTGGTGCCATAAGAAGATAGATGACGAGGGAAGGCTTGAAACAGTAGGCTTTACTGAGGCGCCCGCGCCGAAAGACCATCCTAGGTGGGTAGAGATGCATCCGTCGGGCAACTATCTATATGCCTTGATGGAGGGAGGGAACCGGTTGTGCGAGTACGTGATTGATCCGCAGACCAAGCTGCCCGTCTACACGCACAAGACGTACCCATTGATCCCCCCTGGTAAGTCCACCTCCTACTCCCGGCTATCCCAGTCACTAACTATGACGCTCAGGTATCCCCAATGCAACCACAATGTACCGTTCCGACGTTTGCTTCCTCACTAAATCTTCAAACTACCTCTTCGCAACCTCCCGATCCAACTCCTTCTCCCTTACTGGTTACATTGCCGCATTCAAGATCGCTCCCTCAGGTGCCATTGAGCGACAAATTTGCCTCAATCCTACACCGACGTCTGGCGGCCACTCGAATGCAGTATCGCCGTGTCCTTGGTCCGACGAGTGGTTAGCCCTGACAGATGACGAGAAGGGTGGCGTGGAGATATATAGATGGCAGGATGAATTTCTAGCGAGAGTTGCAAGGCTGGAGATTGGTGCGAAGGGTTTCGGTATGAATGCTATTTGGTATGACTAGACCGATATACAATACTTGGGCATAGAGGATACATGGGTAGCATCAAGAGAATTGGCATCACAAAAACTTCATCTCCAGCATGCTAGTATGATTTCAGATATGGGTGAGTACTTAGGTACTGCATGCATTGATGGTCCTCCACGTCCCGAAGCGTAGCGTACGCGCGTGGTAGCGGCGGGTCTGTGTTCAGCCTCGGAAGAATGAGGGGCAGCGGTACCGCCGTCGCCCGAACCAACGCCAGCCGGCAGATGCCATCGGGGGAGCTCTTCTTTCCCCAACTTCGTCATGGCCTGCACGAGATAATTGGAGTAGTATAGTCGCAACCATCGAATCTAATCGTTTTCCAATCTTCCCATTTCACCCAGTCGTCTCTCATCTACTTGCGACACTAACACTGAAGGTTACAGCTACCCACACAACAGATACAATGGCTGCCAAATCAACACCAGGCATTTTGTACGTGACGATGCAGCCCAAAGAGGGCTTGCCTGAAGCACAGTTTCACGATTGGTAAGTTGACCCCTCCGCAGTCGCATCCTTGCCACTTCACGATCCCACCTGACACTTTTCCCTCCAAGGTACCAGAACGAACACGGCCCCAATCGTCTCCGTCTTCCCTTTTGCAACAATGGCTTCCGCTATCGCGCCACGGATCTCGAGAGCGCGCCTGGGTCTAAGGACAAGCCAGAATGGATGGCCATCTACGATTTCGACGAACTCGAGTGGCTCACTAGGGAACCGTACACGAAGCTTCGAAGCGCACCGGTGCAATCGCAACGAGAACGCGATACTATGAAGCAGATCTTTGTCGACAGGCGATCTTACGATCTACTCGGGGAATGGAAGGGTGGAGACTTCAAGGACCTGCAGAAAGTTGAAAACGAGGGAGAAAAGAACGTCATGATAGCCGTGAGCTTCGCACTACACGAGGGCGCAGACAAGGAAGAGGAGCTGAAGAAGTGGTACGACCAGGAACACGTACCTCTTCTCCAGAAGGTTCCCGGCTGGAGGAGGACAAGGAGATTCGTAACATCATACCTAGATCTGGAGAGCGGACACAAGACCGAGGAAGAGTACCTCGCGCTGCACGAGTACGCGCCCCAGAATGGGCTAGGAGGACCAGAGTTCAAGGCTGCTACTACGACGGAGTGGTGCGATAAGATCTACAAGGATGTCGTAAAAGACAGGAAGAGGAGGGTGTACGATCTTTACTACACCTTTGGTGCTGCACAGCGCGACCTCCAAAGTCTGGCGAGTAAAGACACAGTACCAGCAGAAAGTTCAGAAGGCATGGTCAAGACATACCCAGCACACACGACACCAGAGAAGCGACCAGTAATCGAGAGCTTCGTCACAACAAAAGATGGCGTGCAACTGCCGTACCGCCTCGAAGGCTCCAGCGATCCCAATGCGCCTCTTCTCGTGCTTTCAAACAGTATACTTGTCGACTACGGCATCTGGGACGACTTCGTAGCCGAGTTCACAAAAGCCACAAACAACAAGTATCGCATCCTCCGCTACAGCACCCGTGGCCGCAACACACTTCCAGCGAATACCACATCGCCCATCACAGTACACACGCTTACCGACGACGTAATCGCCCTCCTCGACGCCCTCCGCGTCAAGAAAGCCTCCATCGTCGGCGTCTCCCTCGGCGGCGCAACAGCACTCAATGCCGGTCTCTCCTACCCCGATCGCATCTCCGCCTTCATAGGCTGCGACACCAACGCCTTCGCGCCCCCATCCAACGCGAATGCCTGGAACGACCGCGTCGCCGTCGCCGAGAAAGAGGGTCTAACCGCCTCATCCGGCGAATCCATTGTCGGCGAAGAACTCGCAGAAGTGACAGTGCGCCGCTGGTTCGTAAAGGAGTCTTACGACGATGCGGAGCTAGCAAAGAAGATTCAGCGCGTCAAAGATATGGTTAAAACGAATTCACTGGCTGGATTTAGGGACTCGGTTAAGGCGCTGCATCAGTACGATATTAGGGAGAAGATGGCTGGGTATAAGGGGAAGGGTGCATTCTTGGTGGGTGCGGGGGATGGGGTGTTGCCTAAGACTATGAAGGAGAATATGGCGGATAAGTTGGGGAGTGGGGTTGAGCTTAAGGTTGTGGAGGGGGCGGGTCATTTGCCCATGGTGGAGAGGCCGGGAGAGGTCGCGCAGTTTGTTGCAAAGTTTTTGGAGGGTTAGGCGTGTGTTTCTGGAAGTCTTGAGGATAGTGAGATTTACCTCTACTCGCAAAATCACTTCAAGCTCGAGTAAGAAGCCCAGAACAAGTTCTACGTCATATGCACATTCTTCTGTAACGCAGTCCAGCTTCCTGGTACTTCTAAGGTTTGTTTTGATGGTGGCTGACCGTAAATGGCTTAGCTCCATAAACCTACTGGTAGATGAAGCTACTTGAACTTCACCTACGTCATCTTCATAGTTCCTCCGGACTTCCATCCTATCATTATCTTTCTACTCAGCTACTGTTAGTTTGTTCTTCCTTCCTTACGCAGGTACTTCTTTCTCGTCCCGTCTCTTCCTCACTTCATCTCCCTTTCATCCCCCTATCATCCTGCCTTACATCTCTCAAGCAACAGCACAGTTGCGCCGTACATATTACTGGGCTTTACCTACTTCACTTCATTGTGATACATCAATTGGAACTCGAAACAACACATAAATTGACACTGTACTGGCGAACCTGTGCTTCCCATTCTTCCCACGGAGCCCGAATGTCGAATCGCGTCCAAAACGGCCGTATCGGCAAACAGACGACTCCGTACAAGAAGCGTTATCCTGCCCATGCCGAGCCATACTTCTTCAAACCTACACCCGAAAACCGCCGTCTGCACTCTTACAACAAGGCGCGTTACGTCTTCAACTTCTCCGAATGGAATGGCAAAACCATCCACGAGCTAGCCTACGAGCATCGAGACCGCGGCCAAGCCTTCCTACTTTGGATACTTGGCGAAAAGTTTGATCTAGCAAGTCGTCCTGACCTTGTCATCGCCCTGCGCTCCCTTCATTCTGGCTGGTATACAGATTTTCTGTTTCCGTACATTGCTGATGGACTCGCTAAGCGAGGGTTCAAAAGGGGGACCATACGCGGCTCGAAGTACGAGATCGCCATGTTTCCCAAGCATCTCAATCCCAATCTACAAGTTTACATATCGTCAGAGAAGACACCATTCGACAACTTTTTCGACATGGAGTCGCCTCACAAGGCGTCGCAATGGGCGAAAGATAAACCGGAAGTAATTTTCGATGCAGAGCCCCTTTCTGCGCTGCGACCTGAGGTGACGAACGTGGAACAAGGGGGAAGTTGGGATACGTACCCGATACGGGTATCTTTCTATGGAGTGCCGATTCGAATAGAACGCCTGTTCCTTGATGACCCAGAGAAGAAGGGCTCCTATCTCACCATAGCACCCTGCGGTATACGTGGAGATGGGGAAGAGCAGTTTCTGTATCTCACTATGAAGCTCGATGAAAAGGGAAGAACACCGAACGAGATGCTGGGCATGCTGGGGCTTCCTTACCACTTCTCCGGCGCTTTACACAGCACAGAAGACGTCGACTTGGAGGACACTCATTTCGAGAAGGTTGAAGACGAATTTGCCATTAGGACTGGCCTTCGTTTTGAGATGATGTGCTTTATCGTTGCAGTTGACGAGGGCAAGATATCTGTTAAGCCAGATTGGAAGAATCCGCAGTCCTTGAAGGATGGATGGAATCGCGAAACGATGCACATGACTCTGCAGGAAGGTGTTGAACCGCCAGTGGTTGGAGAGAAGTACCTGGCCAAGGGCATTATTCCGCCACCATACCGCGGTAGATGGGCAAAGGGATTTGATTGGAAACATAATCTGCTGCCGGATGGAATTTGGAAGGCTTGTGCGTTTGATCGCATCGCCAAGTAAGTTATCGCTATGTCATTTTTCTACAAAGTATTGGAGGGGTAGCTCTTGGAGTTGTGAGGTGCATCAGGTCTTTGTCCCACGTTCCGCATGTGAGGGGTCAATGTTCATCCATGAAACCATAGCCGCTTTCGTGTGCGTGTCTTATACTGCTGTGAAACAAAGCCAGGTTGATGTCTTAACCTGTTCATTAGGCAACTTTTTAAAGCTGAACCTTTGTCTCTGCTGCTTTCCCATATAACCGCCCCCTTTATCGCAGAAATTTATTCGCTCCATTACCTATTCAACACAGTTATCTTCCTCTCAAACATAGCCGGAAATGTCGGACCGAATCCAGCACGGCCGCGTCGAGAAGTCTCCAGGCAAACCACATCAATATGATCAATGGCTTCAACAGATAGTGTTTCCACGGCACAATAAAGGGTATACCTTCCGCCCCACGGAGGAGAACAGGCGCCAAGTTCCTGAGAACAAAGATCGATACTTTTTCGACTTCGGCAGCTGGCGTGGCTCCTCGATTAAAGACCTCGCCCATGACTGGGATGGAGAGAGCTTTCTGACTAACTTTGTGCTTGGCGAGAAGTTCGATTTGGAAGGTCGACCCAGCCTCATCACGGCTCTCCGTTCGTTGGATGTCAACTATTACTGCGATGATTGGAAAGTTGGAGCGAAGGTACTAGAACGAGGATTTACGCGGACCTTGAGAAAGGGCTCTCACTTCTACTTTAGCAGTCTCGCAGAAGATTCCAGAGTACTGCTGTCTTGTGATGAGACAAAGTATGATCAGTTCATCCATGTAACTTATCCTCCGCCTGAGCATTGGACAAGAGAGAAGACTCCTTCATTTGGGGGCGGCGTAAAGATGCCGGATGTGATTCTAGAAACGGCCACATTCGAGGAAACACTGTTTAGTGAGCTCAATGAGGCTGACCGAGAAGAGTTGGCACGATTCCCAGTACACCTCTCTTTCCACGGCATGCCCATCAGGCTAGAGCGGCTATTTCTCGACAAGCCAGACATGAAAGCGACATACCTGACTATAGCACCGTTCGGCTTCAAGAGCAGCTCGAGTAAAACACATCCCCATTATCTCACAATGCGTCTCAACGAAGAAGGCCAAGATGAGGATTGGGCCGAGAAGCTACTCGGACTGCCCCATCACTTCTTCGGTGCCTACGTCAACGGCGAAACGGAGGATCTTACGTGCGCCCATATCAAGCTTATACAAGCAAGCGAAATCGAGGCTGGATTTCGCTTCGAAGTCCATGGTAACGTCGTGACATCTGAAAGGGGTCGTATTGAGCTAGATTGGAAGGGCATTCCGTATTATCGGTATGGATCTAGAAGATATGCATCACCCAAGATTCCTTATCTGAAATACTTGCAAGAAGAATTAGATCTTCCAGTTGGACCAAACCACATTCGTGGGATAATTACACGGTGGGACAACCGGGAATTTAGTTGTAGAGAAGATCGTCTCGAGCATGCGATATGGAGACGCTGTGCTTCCGAACTGGAGAAAACGAAATGAAGATCGAGCTCTTGTAGCGCACTGATGTATCATTTTAGTTGTATCAATATAAACACTTACCTTCCAAACTACAGCCTACCCTCTATCCTCTCTCCCATCTAACCAGCTCGTACAATTCACACACCTCTTCGCCTTCTCGCTGATATACTTCCTGCAAAACCGACATTTGACCTGCTTTTTGACGATGTTATCCCCGCTGCCCCTCGAATACGCCAGCGCCACAACCCAAAGCGCCAGCGCCACGACCAGAAACCTGACAATCTTGTCCAAAAACTCGCCGTAAGCTAGTACGACGGCGCCATCGTCGACAGCCTGCTTAGGGGTGTTGTAGCCATTGGAGATGGTGGTGTTGTAGTTGGGCCCGGATTGCAGGATGGCGAATTTGGCGTCGAGGTTGCGGGAGAGGAAGGGGAGGAGCGAGATTATGGGGAGGATGATGGAGGAGACGAGGGAGTTTGCGACGGCGGTGAAGGCGGCTGCGAGGCTGGGTTGTGAGTTAGTATGGCTTATGTGGATTTTGTCTTGTTAGATGGAAGTGACATACATCAGTCCAACGGCTACTTCGAGCACGTTGTCGCGTAGGGCGAAGTTGCTGAAGCTGTCCCAGGCACTCGCGGTTCGCCTTCGGATCCCCTGTTCTGCATCGCGGAGGGTTTGGTGTGTGTTTTCATCTAAGCGCGGCATGATGGTACTATAGGGCGTTGAGATGGTAGGGTAGGGTGTCACGATGTGTAAGGATGTGGTGCATGGGTGGTGAAAGCTGGAGTCGCGTCTCAGGTGACGACGTCATGCCGACCGACGCGTAGTGCGCGTAACCTTGGAAGGTTCGCACTAGGCACGCGCATCAGGCTTGTACGAGCACGCCCACGGTCACATTGGCATCTTTGAAGCATACAATTGCCATCGGATATGTTCAGCAGCGTTGACTGTAATGAACATCCCCCTTTCGTTGGTAGTTGTGGCGATGTGATCATCTCCACTCCAACGCCTCCCGAAACCCAGTTTACTCCACGCGTAAGCTTCCCCAGGCTGTGGTCCACTTAGCGAGACGCCAGATGGATCGGCTTTCCTTATTATCATTGCCCTGCGTCGCAGACAGCCAGGCGGCTGCAGCGCTGCGCACGACATATCCAGATTCTCCGACATGACGACGTCTTGCACATCATGCCATGCACACGGCGAACACCACATCCTTCACGATCTCGATCGCGAACAGGCGTCGCACACCCAACCTCACATTTATCTTATCCAGCCACCAATCCGCGCCGTGGGTCTCCGAATACCGACCCCACAGAGTCGGCCCTTCTACACAGGAAGCCACTCTCCTCCCGAAGACAGGCCACATGCCCAACCCACACCCCACCCCACCGTCGTAACGAGGAAACCACCAAAAAAGATTTAGACCCCGCCTGTCGCAATCACAATCACGCCAGGCAGCCTCATGATTCAGTACCATCGTCAACTATGCCGACCCCGGATCAAAGCCCTCCGCCGCCTATCTCGCGCCGCGTGACCCTGTGCGGCACGCCATAGTAAGATCGCCGTCCTATCTGTAAGGGTCAAAAGGGTACATCGTCCAAAACGCAGGGTCTTGCCATCCGAAGCGGATGGAAAAGCGTGGACATGACAAGTGGTCACGATACATCAGGTCATGTTGTATCAACTTTGGGAAAGGTAAGCTGTGTACATGTGTAGATCTCTTCGCGTAAAGCACACCAAAAAAAGATGCGCGGTGCAAAATACCCTTTTTCTGCGATATTGTCGGCACGCTGCGCTTCGTGAATGGAGGAAGTGAGGGGTAAAGAATCCGAAAACGTGGTTGGTGAAGCTGATGGATATATGCCGGTAGATGTTTCTTGGGCACACTTGCTCATGCAACATGCGCAGTGCACGAGGCTGCATGCAAGATACAGAACAAAGCGGTATGGCTAGTCCTTGTTGGAGTAATGGCAGACGAAAATCACGACTTGGTCTGCTGCAGGCAATCGTGAGGCTGAACGGAAAGAGGAGAAAGAAAAAAATTGAGTTGGCTGGTACGATAAGATTATCTTCGCCTCTGTAGCGGTGGTGCCGGGAGACCCGATTATTCTTGCTGTGACAGTCGCCGCGGAGGTTTTTCGGATGGTTTAGGGTTGGAGCGGTAAGCGCGCGAAAGAGGGATGTTCGCTGCTGGCGTGTGGAGGGGTAATTTGGGCGCTGTTGGTGGTTTTTCGCTATCGTGGGTTATGCGGCGTGAGGTCACGGTACTGCACGCTTGTCTCTTAGTCTGCAGTAGTCGCGTTTTCGGGTGGGGGATGGTTGCGTGTGCTCGACTCAGTATATCGCCGACGGAGCTTGTCAATGGAAGGGGTTGGCCCGTTGCGTTTGATGAGGTCGTCATAGCAATATCACCGAGCCAAGTGCGAAGGAGGGGATGAAGCCTGAAGATATTATGAAGTGGAATTTGTTTGTTGTTCGATCGCTATCATGCTGCCGCGGCACGCAATGCAGTACAGTATGTGTAAATGCTCAGTAAAACACCGCCCAATGCGTGTAACCATAAAAATGCAAGCCCGTGGTATACCAAAAACGCCTTCCAATGCTGTGTGTAAAGTCAAAAAGCCACCAACGCCGCGCAATGCTGTGTATCCAACCCCTACCCCATGATGCACCTTTTTCTCTATCCCGCCGTACTACCGTGCTACAAGATCGACTCTCCCGTTACCGAGTCGACTCGTGCTCTTGATTTTGATCGGGTCGATGACCTCCGGCGTTCTGCGCCGTCCTTGGGCTTCCTAGTCTTTGCGCGACGTAGCGCAGGAACATCCTCCTCTTCAGATTCGTCTACAGTGAACAGGTCCGGGCTGGGTTCTCTCCATGAGTGGCGATGACCCGATAGTGTGCGCGAGTACCGGCGACGGTTTTGCTGCTTGCGGGTTGCGAGATCCTGTGCGCGGCCTCGTGATGGTTCAGTGATTCTGATCCGTGGAGGGCTGAGCTGAGACACGACTTGTGGCGTGTCGTTCAATCGATCGTCGTCCAGCCCCATGAAAGACTCCTCCTCGTCCTCTTCGTAGATGGTAGGCGCGTGGTACTGAGTGTGGAGCTGGCTGTGGTTGTGCTTGACATATCGGGTCCACTTGTTGGCGAGGTTGGACTTGAACTTGGAAGACTTGGTGGTGCGCGGTCCTTCCTGGACGTCGATGCCTGCGCTCAGGGACAGCTCGTACGGGTCGTCGGCCTCAGTGATGGGTGGTGAGATGAAGTGCGAGAAGGGGTCTTCGTCGATGTCCGGAAGATCGTTTTCATTAGTGTCGTCGCTGCCGTTCTCGACCCATGGTGGGAAGGAGTAGGCGCGAGGGGTGCTTCGTAGATAGGAAGGCATTATTAAGAGGAAGTCCTTGAATTTCCGAAGGAGCGATGAACGTCGAACAGGCAGTGATGGCTTAGCGCTTGATTCAACCTTGACAAAGGCGATGTGACCGAGAATGGT